AGTGCTGTGTGAAAAACGGGTCTCCCCTGCCTTGCCTTTCCCCTGAAGTTCCCATGGAGGATGAACCTCGCTCCGCCAGGCTAAAATTCCACACACACACCCCGTCATGGAAGGTCCCCCCCCCCACCCCCCCCCCACTTTTCTCTGAGCGGCCCCAGCAGTGGGAGCCCCGGACTTTGGCCCTTTCCAGGACAGGATGGCCCTGTGGTGGGATCGGACAGGAGGGCCTCTGCTCTGCCGCCCAAAAGCTGGGCCTCTCCAGAAGGGGATCTCACCAGGCCTGGTGCTGCCAAGCCCTCCCACGGCATCCCAGACCCTGCCTGATTGTGGGCCAACACAGAATCGTGCAGAAGTGATCTGGAGGAAGAAGTGTGTGAACAGGCGGATAAGTCCACACTTAGATGCCAGATGTCAAGACGGCCTCCCAGTTTTGCTGCAGGCAGTTGTGTGAGCGTATTTATCTGCTAACGCGGTGCATCGTTGTTGGCATTCTGGTCCTATCCCACTTTCCTAACCAGGGGGCAAAGAGGTATCCCAGGAGCAGCTGACAAAGGAGAGCGGAGTGGCGCCAGGCGGTGCCTGCCAGACTTAGGGCAGGCAACTTCACTTCTCCATGCACCTCCACTGTCTGGCATGTTGCGATCAAATCTGGAAAGCTGCTGCTACGCTCAGTTTTCCACAACTGTCTGGCATGCCCAACTCTCATATCACACATTAATTCATTATAAAAATAGTGTTGGGACTTGACTAGAAGGGGAGCAACTCTGCCCTCAAACAAGGTCAGCAGCTGCCTCCCACCAGGCCAATGGGGTCTGCCTGCGGAGCGATGCTGGAGGCAGGAGGGCCCCACGAGCAAGAAGCCCCTTCCCCAGCCCAAGAGGAGGAAGGCAGAAGCTCTTCCCTGGCAGAATTCAAGGAGCTGTTCGTAAAAATACTGTCTCCAAAATGGGCGAGTTCTGGTCCCTGACAAACGGAATTACTTTGGCTATGCCAGCTGGGGATTATGGGAGTTGAAGTCCAACCCCTCTGGATGACACCCAGCTGGGGAACAGTGATCTGGACCTGGCCATTCAGCACATTTAGATGTCTCCAGGGAATGCAGAGGAAGGTTGGCTGGCCGAGAATGGCCCAGCGTGCCCCAAGACCTGCCTGCAGGACTGCACCCAAAGGAACCCTCACCCTCAGCCCCCTCCCACCCCGGGCCTGTCCCCAGGCATTCAAATGCAATTCTCCTCTTTCTTCCTTTTGGCTGCAGGCGGGTCCTGTGGCAGGTGCTGTAATGGGGGCGGGGGAATGACACGGCACAAAAATTCTTCCTCCCCCAAAAGTAACAGTGAACGTGGATGTCAGGCTTTCTCTGCGGCGAACGAGAAGGCAAGCGCTCCTGGCCCCCACGGGCCCACCTGGCGCCCCACAGGACTCAGAAGGCCAACCGCTGGGCTAGGAAGCAGTGCCCTCTGGTCACAGGTGCCCAAGCAGATGAGGGGCCTCGGCAGCCCTTGGCTCTGCCATCTCACTGCTTGTCCTCTGTCTGATTTGGAGCTCCAAAGTGCCCTTCTGATCGGGTGACCCCTGGGTACATGTCTCTGGGCAGCCTTGAGTGTGCCAAGCTGAGCCTCCTCACCCAGTGACACTTCCCACGCAAAGCAGCGGGGGGTGCACGGCAGGGAGTCTTCGTAGCTGCAAAGGGCAGGTGGCAGTTCAGGTTAGGGTTATTAAACAATCCCGCTCTGCCCCACGCTCAGTCCAGTCCCGGTGCACGTTGGCCTTCCAGTTTCTTACTGGGCGATCACTTTGCACCTGTTTCTTGGTCCTCTTTCTCGGAGGGCTACGTGCCTACCGCGTAATATCGGAAGACAATGGAAACCCCCACAGGAAGCAAAAGAGCGAGAAATGCAAAACAGGGTTAGCAGCGCCTCGGTCTCCAAGGGCAAAGCAAAGGCAACCATGACGTTTCTTCCTTTGGCCAGACCTCACGTTTTGAGTTTAGGCTGGAAATAAACGCAGCCGGGCAAGCTTGCAGGAAGTGATGGCGCTGGTGGGCAGAGCGAGGGCCTGTGCTCCTAGGTCCTGGGGCTGCAGGGCCCAAGGAGGGCCCGGTCAGCTGTGAGGCAAGGCCCAGAGGAGGCACCAGGAGGGAGAGGAGGCTGAGGCCCTCCAGCGAGGGGGGAGAGCCGCACAGCAGGACGGCAAGGGAGGACTCCCTCTTCTGCAGAGTG